AAAATTGTATTTAAAATTTCATATTCTAACTATTTGTTGTTAATATAGAAAATGCAATTGATTTTCTTATATTGACTTTGATTTCATCAAAATTGTTGCACTCACTTAAATGAATCTACAAATTTGTTTATATGTGTATCAGCACAATCATACCTACTGGTAATGAGTTTTAGTTCTTTATTTCAAACCTAATTTTTTAATTTATTTTGTTTTCCTCATTACATAATCTAGGACTTCCAGCACAATACTGGATAGAAGTAGTGGTAATGAGAAATCTTGTTTTGTCCTTTGTTTGAAAAGGAAAGCCTTTAACACTTCAACATTTAGGTTTGTTTGTTGTGATATTTTCATAGCTATCCTTTATTAGACTGTGGAATTAATTTTTTCCCTAGGCGACTAAGGAGTTTTTAAATCAAGAATGTACACTGAATTCTACCAAGTGATTTATTTATGTCTTTCAAAGTGATCTTTTATTCTATTAATATAGAAAATTATACTGATCACTTTTTAATGCTATTGCATCCTTAAATTGATAGATTAAGCAGAAGTTGATCATGATATATTATCCTATTTAAACTCTCTGGGTTCAGTTTGTTACTATTTGGTTTAGAATTTTTATATCTATGGTTAGCGTTAAGACTGAACATTCATTCTCTTTTGCAATAATTCTCCAGTTGGATTTTGGTATCAAAAGTATGGCAGCCTCATAAAACAAGGGAATAAAGTTTTCTCTTTTCCTGTTCTCTGAATGGGTTTGATAGAACTGACTAGTGAAGCCATGTAAACCAGGAGGCCAAAAAGTGGTTGGAGATCCTAAAGCTTCCCAAGTAAACCTAGTTACAGTGAGATATTGAGCTGGTTCCAAGAATGCTAGTATCCGTTAGGGAGATACATACATACATACATACATACATAGATTAATTAATTCTAATTGACCACCTAGATGTATATATCAGTTCTATTTGCTTAGATATTATGGGCCCTGAGAAAGGCTTTTTACTACTTATGCCTATGATTACATTTCTGAGAAGGCCACTCTCTTTCATGTAATAAATGTCATCAACTCCTAGGAAATATCCCACAGATCTTTAATCAAGATAAACATTATCAATAAACCTGACTGATGTTAACTCAATTTTTTTCTTTTTTAATTTTATAGATAAATTAGCCAAAATGTCTCACCTTATAAATTATTTAGGTGCATCTCCTTATAAGCATATTAAAATATTTATATATTTATTTATAATTAAAATTAAATAAAGAACTCAAAAAAATTAACACCAAAAAAACAAATAACCCAATCAATAAATGGGATAAGGAAATGAGCAAATACGTCACAGAAGAAGACATACAATCAATCAACAAATTTATGAAAAAGTGTTCAACATCTCTAGCAATTAGAGAAATGCAAATCAAAACTATTCAAAGATTTCATCTCACTTCAACAGAATGGCAGTTATCAAAAAATCAAGCAACAATAACTACTGGCAAAGATGTGGAACAAAAGGTGTAATTCATTGCTGATGGGATTGCAAAATGGTGTAACCACTTTGGAAAGCATTATGGAGATAACCTTAGCAAACCTGGAATGGAATGCCATTTGACCCAGCTATCCCAACTCCTCAGTCTATCTCCAAAGGACTTAAAATTAGCACGCTACAGAGATGCAGCCACTTCAATGTTTACAGCAGCTCAAATTCACAATAGCTAAACTGTGGAAACAACCTAGGTGTCCTTCAATAGACGAATGGATAAAGAAACTGTGATATAAATACACAATAGAATAGTACTCAGTCTTAAAGAAGAATGAAATTATGGCATTTATGGGTAAATGGACGGTACTAGAGAATATCATGCTAAGCAAAGTAAGCCAATCCCACAAAACCAAAGGACAAATATATTCTCGGATAAGTGGATACTGATCCATAATGAACAGGAGGCAAGGGAAGAAGGGAGAAACTTTGGATTGAGCAGAGAAGGAGAGGAGTAAGCGTGGGAGATGACAGAATGATATGGACATTATTACCCCAATATATGGGTATGAATGCATGAATGGTGTAACTCTACATCACGTACAACCAAAGAAATAAGAAGTTATACTCTATCTGTGTAAAATAAATAAATAGTTTAGGTGTGCCTCCTCCTAAGCATATTAAAAATATTTACATATTTATTTAAATATTTAAAATTAATGTATAAATATAAATTCATATGTACATTTTATCAGGTATACTGCACAAATGAAATAAAGCTACTAACAAATATTGTTACCTCTACATATAAAGCAAAATGCTAAAGGTTCCCTTACTTAAGAGGAAAAATTTATGTTCTTAAATTAACGTAACATTGACTTAAGTTTTAGTGGCTAGACATTAGGGAGAAATATTTATCTCCCTCTGCTCCTTATGTTTCCATGTTTAACTTCCAATAGCATAACCTTCCTGGCTTCTTTTTTTTTTATTGGTTGTTCAAAACATTACAAAGCTCTTGACATATCATATTTCATACATTAGATTCAAGTGGGTTATGAACTCCCATTTTTACCCCAAATACAGATTGCAGAATCACATCGGTTACACATCCACTGTTTTATATACTGCCATACTAGTGTCTGTTGTATTCTGCTGCCCTTCCTATCCTCTACTATCCCCCATCCCCTCCCCTCCCCTCCTATCTTCTCACTCTACCCTATCTACTGTAATTCATTTTTCTCTCCTTATTTTTTTCCCATTCCCCTCACAACCTCTTATAAGTAATTTTGTATAACAATGAGGGTCTCCTTCCATTTCCATGCAATTTCCCTTTTCTCTCCCTTTCCCTCCCACCTCATGTCTCTGTTTAATGTTAATCTTTTCCTCCTGCTCTTCCTCCCTGCTCTGTTCTTAGTTGCTTTCATTATATCAAAGAAGACATCTGGCATTTGGTTTTTAGGGATTGGCTAGCTTCACTTAGTATAATCTGCTCTAGTGCCATCCATTTCCCTGCAAATTCCATGATTTTGTCATTTTTTAGTGCTGGGTAATACTCCATGGTATATAAATGCCACATTTTTTTTTTATCCATTCATCTATTGAAGGGCATCTGGGTTGGTTCTACAATTGAGTTATCTGATTTGTGGATTTCAAAGAAACGGGCATGCTTGGCTCAGCAATTCTGCAGAGAGAATACATTCACACTTGCCCTCCCACTAGACTTCATCAGGCAAGGGTAGAGGAAAATCTGGGTTGATCCAGCTCTGCCTTGGAATAGGTAAGTTTAGTTCTGGAATTCAATATTGGAAAACCCACTAATCCCACATCTAAACCATGTCCCCAGTGTAACTTCTGTAAGTAATACAGCTACATTCATGACTGTGTCTGATTCCCACATCTCTTTCTCAAAAGGTTCTGAATGTGGGCAGAATAAAAATGTATTTACTAACACTCCAAAATGCTTATACTCACAATACTGGGGTCACCCTGAGCACTCGTCAGAAGTCCAGATCTCATTACAGAACTCATCAGAAGTCCAAGAACAACATTACAGGGTCAGGAATATCTCTTCTGACCACAACAAGGAGAAGAAAATCAAAAGGCCTGAAGCAACAGTAAGGCATAACTTCTTCTTCTGGTGCAAGGAGAAAGACTTTGTTCTATTTGCCTACCCACAAAACTACATGATTCATCACAGAAACAGGGTCATGACATCTGGAACTGCAGAAATCACATCATAGTCTGGATGAATTCCTTTCTAGAATGGAATTTAAAGTTTTCCTGATCATGCACCGAAAATATAACCACTTAATGCGAAGGCTCTTTACTTATATACTATAATGTCTAAAAAATGGATTTCATTCTTTTACATCACGAGACTATTCATGAAAATAATTAATTAATTTTATTTCAATAATTTGCTTCAATCAAACCATAAAAACTATAGAATATAAGTTTGATATTTACATATTTTCAAAATGGTTAATTTTACTTCTGTCGTGGTTGTGATCAATCAGTTATTATTTTCAGAAGAATTAATATAGGTTAAAGGTACTACAAGAGTACAATGACAGAATCCAAAACAAAGATTTAAAATATCTTTGTAAAAGATTTTGTGCATAATATTCTAAGGATCCTGCTTGTTGCAGTCACTTTGTAGAAAGTTGGTTTTACTATTCTCCCTGAGATCTTTTTGTTTAATAAACAGATCAATTTTCAGCTGTGTCAAAAAATCCAAACTATTGTGGTTCCATTTTCCTCACTGTTTACTCAAATATTAGTTGAATTTTTTGACTATTGTGGATTATTTCCTTCTACATTGAGTAGTACTAAATGTGTACACATAATAAAGCTAATATATTCATTTTATTTCTAGTAGGAGCTACAATTGTTTTGAGAAATACTAAAAATGTGCTTCTTATTTAATTCACTCTGTATTTTTGCAACTTAAAAACAATATTGGGTGGTTTTTTTTTTTGGAGCTTTGGAAAGCTATCTATTTCAATTTAACAACTGTCATAAAACTCAAATTTGAAGTGAAACTTGACAAAATTTCAACTCCAACAGATTTTTTTTTTTTTTTGGTGTTGAAGGGAGTAGTGAAGGCTTTCTGAACAATAAGATGAAACCACAGGCATCTTCCCCATAAAGAAAGCTCCAGGACAAATGTTCAAATATCCCTACTGGGAAACAAAAGTTGAATTTATTACCACATATTTGGATGCTCTTACTGCATTTTGTAAACCAAATAAGTTTATATAAGTATTTAAATAAGCATGCAAACCAAATAAGTTTATTTCCATGTATGCTGTTTCCCTCATGTCCAGGTTTGTGATTGCTGTCCTTGTTTAGTCCCTTAAAGGAAAAGATGTGCCATTTAAAAATATTTTGTCGATTATTGCATGTGTAATTTTTAGCCTTTAGACTTTTATCCCTACCTATCCAAGCAAAAAGAAATGCTCAATTTCCAGCTGTACTGTGACATTATTTTATATCAAGATCTCAGGGAATAGAGAATGTAAACAGTACCTGGAATTACCCCAGTCAGGACCAATGCCTGAGAGTGATCCTCTTGTGTCGGTTGCATATTTGTAAACCACTAGCAAGCACTGTTTACAAAGCTCCACCAGGCGCTGGCAACACTGGAGCTGCAAAGGAGTTACCATCTCTGGGCTTCTACTGAATATACTCTCCCAGGAGGATCTGTTGGCATGGAAACAGACATGACTTCGTGTTCACGTTTAAAAATGGCAACCAGCTATATCATTTACCTAGCAACAAACCAATAAAGAAAGCTAGAAATACTCTCACACATCTATAACACATACAGATGATTGAAAAGTATATAAGAAATACAAATTAATTAGGAAATTAATCTTTATATAATAAAAGAACCAACATCAAATTCATGTACTATTAGTCTTTAAAGACTTTGGTGGTTCCAATCATTGGTAGCTAAAAGGATGACTTCCAACATCTCCTAAAAAAAAATGGAGTTACTCCATATTATAGTTTTGTAAAATACTGAACTGATTTCTCAAAAATTAAGTATTCTAGGAATTTAGGTTTTCTAAGAATTTGTATTTACCTTAACACTAATAATGATCCTACAAAGGGGTTAAAAAGTTGATGCAATTTAATCTGTGAACCATAGCACTAGGACAATTAGGTTAAACCCTTTTTAAGACTACATCCATGATATTCCCAGAGCACAGGTCCTGTGCTCTAGAAGTAGCATTATCTCCATAAGTACTAACACACTGCAAGGTGGGGTGCAGTGATTTGGATCAAGGTGTCTGGTTGCCTCGTGGTTGTGGTGCACTTGTACTGGGAACCCCCTTAGCAAAAGTACAGGTTAATCCCAACAGTTCAGAAGGCCGAGGCAGGATGATCAAAGCCAGCCTTGGAAAAGCAAGGTGTTAAGCAACTCAGTTAGACCCTGCTCTAAATAAAATATAAAATAGTGCTTGGGATGTGGCTCAGTGGTTGAGAGCCCCTGAGTTCAATCCCCAGTAACCCCCACCAAAAAATGTACAGGTTAAGACTGCCCAGTTGCTATGGTGATACCCTGCCTGAGGAAACTGCACAGGTTCAGAGTTATCAGTCTTGACCTTGAAACTCAGATACTAGCTCCCAGGGATAGGGGATTCTGAGCATAGCAAGAAAACCATAATGTTTCTTCAGTGCTGTGACCTTTAAGCCTCGCTGCTTTGCTGAAACTTTCCCACAAATAACCTTTGAATGATAAAACCTATATAATAAACATGCTGAGCCAGCTCTGGATCACTATTCTCAACCAGAGATCAGTATCCCACCTGATCCCAGCTTTCTCTCTTAATGTTTGAGTGTTTTTCTTAATCCCCTATCACCCCTAGCCTGTTTCTAGGGGCTCAGCAGTGCAGGTGGAGGCATAGCAATCCTAAAGTCAGTGTCCTTCCTCTTTCAGTATGCTTGGCTCAATCCAAAGCAAGAGCTAGTGCACACTTCCTTGGTAACCTCAAGTACGTGTGTGTGTGTGTGTGTGTGTATTAACAATCAGGAAAGACCTCACCGCCCACCCAGCCACCCAAGAAAAGAGAGAAACTTATTCTCTAATGTAAATGAAACTCTTCAGCCTTGAGGAGAAAGTGATTTGAGACTTGATAATGGTTCAAGTCTCATTTTACATAAACCAATTCATGTAGTCCTTAGAGAGAAAACAGTAGATTGTTAGAAAAAAATATTAAGAAAAATATTTTCCTGATAAAATGTACTTCCCAATGGAAAATTCAGAAACTCTGTTTTCAAACTTCTGTGGCTATTTGAGATATTTAGAATTTTACCAAGTGCCTTAGATACTCAGAAAGGTATTTTTATTAGAAAGGCAAATGGTTTCTTCTCCTTTTCAGGATAAACCTGGTCCCAAAAAGAGAGTATATATATATATATATATATATATATATATATATATATATATAATAAGTGTTTTGTTCCTTAACAGAGGAGTAACAGTCATTGTCACTCAATAAACAATAATATGCTAATTAAATTAACTCAAATAATTTAAAATATTACTAAATATAAGAAAAACCATATGTTCATCAAGATAAAGATAGGTAACTAGAAAATAAACTTACCTAATTTAAAAAAAAATAGGGAAAATTTGTATTTATAATCAATATTCCATAACCTTCCAGGTCTTAAATCTCTGGATTCAGATATAAAAAAAATTATATAAATGTAAATACACAGAGAAAACATCCTGTTTTGACTACCTGCCTAGCACTTTGCTGACAGAATTCTGAGTATGTCTATAAAAGTCTACCTCCATTACCACCATCAACTCTCAACAGGGATGTATTATTTTTATACTTTGGAGCCATTTGATTAGAGCTACTATCAGGTCACTCACATTAAGGTAATTTTTCCTTTTCTTAACTTGGGGTTTAGAGTTAGAAAAAAGAATAAACAAACTGGGAGAACAACAAAAGGGCTACTTTAACACCCTAGTTTGATGTAATTTTCTGAGTAATATATGAGTTATAATCTAACCAGGTTTGGCTTCTCATTTTCTTATTCTTTTTAAAATATTTAAAATTAATATATGAATCAAAGTCCTCTATATGTTTATTTCTTATGTGTACAGTCATCGTTACCAGCCACAGACTCTATTCTATTCTGGATTAATTCATGTTCAAGTGTCAGCAAACCAAAACCCTTCAATAAGAAGAAAGACAATGAGAAAGACCAGCATGTTCCAGCTCCAAGCTAATGGCACCCCTCTGCACAGAGGAAACCTGTGCCTCTAACAGCACCTCACACTAGGCCCCACTCCCACCACCCTGCATGGCTGTGTCCTGCAAAACACCACCTTAGCACCTCTTAATCGCCAGTGCTAAAAGGTGAGAGAAAGCAGAAATAGTTAAAAATACCAGTGCTTTTATCAGAGCAACCAGGGTCTCATCTGCCTGCTTTCTAATCTAAATTCCAAAGAAGTGGAGTACCCAAACCTATGAATTCAAAAAGAAAAATTAAAATGGTTAGTAAGTTCTTTGGGGAGTTCCTTAATCTTCAGAGAAGACAGTGAATGAATGACTTTAAATGACTTTTTTAGTAAGATAATGATAAGATATACAATACGGAATACGTCTGACAACAAAGGGGAAAAGTAATGAAAATCCAAAGACTTAAAAATTCTCATATTGTTCAGTGATCCAATAATTTTCACCCCCTTTCTCATCAAAACATTTAATAAGGCAGTTATCTGAAGAGTGAAACTGGTTCATTCTTTTCTCCTCTGTAAAAGTAAGTACTAAACTGATTGGCCAGAAAGAAGAAAGTTTTGTTTTGTTTTTTTAAATCAATATATCAACCGAATGAATGATCACCAACAGAAAGCTGAAAAATACCAACAAGAACATCCCCAGTTGAAAGTGATACGAGAACAGAGAGGTTCACATTATTTTAGGTAGTCCATATTTTATGCATGTATATTCAAGTCGGCATAAGGCAGCCTAAAAACAACAGTTATCTTAGAATGCTCCTTAAAGTGTATTTGTACACTAAAATTCTGAAAGGAAAGATTTTACATGGCAGACTCCCACAAGAAAATACTTTTGACTAAAGGGTCCAAAGGACCTGGGTGTTTCACCTTGGGGATTGAGTACAGTTAGCGTTTGCAAACTGTTAATTCCTTCTCCTCTGTTCCACTGCCTCTCCTTCTGCATTAAAGTGGCTGACTCCTATTCCTCTTGTGGGTCTCGGCTGAAATGCTAGTAGCCACAGCCACTTTTCCTGAGCTGTCAGGTCTACATTTGAGTTCCACAGAATCCTAGACTTACTTTCTTCCAATACAACTTGGTGGATAATTTTATTCACAAAAATTCCAAGAGCTATTTCCCTGAAGAGATCATATTTGGAATGTGGGGCGTTATGACACTCTCAGTGGGGGCTGCATGTAATAGAAGGGCTCCTGGCTATCGGCTCAGCCTTGAGTATTTTTTGTTTGGCATCAATAAAACTCATGAGCCAATTCTAAAGAAATGTGTCAAAAAGAACTACATTACTCTTTGATGTTTGTGGAAGTGAACAGGGAATGGCTTAATTTGTTTTATTCTTGGGTGTGTTGACAGAGGCAGAAATCAAGATGGTCCAGTTATTAGGTCATATTTTCACAAGATTTTACACCTAACTGGGAAAGAGCTGTGCCTTATATTAAAACAATTCCTTCAGATCTGGAAAAAAATAGGGTTTCACTCTGACTGACAGGATGTTAGACCAAATGTTAAAGGAGTGTATGGTGATTAGACATGATTCAAAGGACAAAGTGTTAACTATGCTGGATCCAAGCTGAGAATCAAAAATGGTATTAAGTGACTTCATTAAATTAAGGAAGCCTAAGAAACCCATTTGTAAAGCTGCAAAATAAAACCTGATGTTAAATTTACCTCTACAAACCACAAAATTGAAAGAGCTGGATGGAGAGTAGAGTATTTCTAAGTCAAAACTATTTCTCCTCCACCAGCCCAGGCACAAATGGGCAAGGAATTTGGAGTTGCAGTAAAACAAGCTTGTCAGGCACTGGTAACTCCACTTCAAAGTAAGTCAATGAACAGTTTTAAGGGCTAGGCTCTTGACTCAGATAACGCAGGTTTAAACGTAGGATCACCCAATTACTCTGGGAACGTGAGCAACCTACATATTCTGTTTTAATTTCCTCATCTGTCAAGTGTGGATAATAATAGTAGTTTACTCAAAAATATTTTTGTGGGGATTTTATAGGTATTTAACATCTAAAACAGTATCAGTAGGTCTTCAATTGTGAGCCCATCACAATCATTAATAGTAGTGAAAGACACCTGTATCAAATTCACTTTTGTATCTCCAAAAGTATCTACCCAACAGTGAAATTTGGAGGGATGTGCCAAGGACAGGAGAAAGATTCTCAAAAGAGTTAGAGTATGCTAGCAAATTAGCTCAGGAAAGCTGAGCCCTGGAGGCAAGGAAGTATACTCCTCAAGTATCTCTATGGCCTGATACTAGAGGTTGCCTAGGAACTCAAAGCCACCAGCACCAATCTTAGCATCAGACTGTCTCATTGCCATCCATAGTGGAAAGTAGCTGAGATCCACATACAGCATCAAACCAAGGGATCAACAAATAGAAAAAGAAAATATTCAATTTTGAATTCAGATTGAGAGATCTTTTACAGAAAACAATTCATTAAGGGGCTGTGAAATATGGTTCAAATATTTCACTCTGTAGAAATCACGTATTCCCAGGATTGTGCTCACATTTTATCACACCCCAGAGTGCCTTATGGATTCTTCCTGTTAGTGAATGAATGGCAGCTGAGGAAAAAGATGATGGTCAGGAGTCTGCAAATGATATGAATGACTCAGCATCAGATGATTAGAATATGGAAATGGGCACTTCAAGATTCTTTTAAAAAGAGATGGGTCTAGTCTCAGTCTTTATATAAGATTTGAAAAATGCAGAAGGTACAGATTTTTTAGAATATTGGAAAACCAGTGAGTTTGTTTTTCTAGAGCAGAGTTCAAGTAGGAGAGTAATGAGAGAGAAGATTGAAAAAAAATAAAAAATAATCAGCATATTAGGCTTATATATAAGAAATTTAGACTTTGAAGATAAATGAGAGAAATCACTAGATTTTGGGAAATGACCCTGACAGTAAGACAGTAAGGAAAACAAAACTTTATAGACAAAAATGCCTAGAAATCTTTTAATGTCACTTAGCCCTTCCATCAAAAGATACCCTTTGTCTGAAATCCTGTCATACTTTCTCTGTGCCTCTTTTATATTGTTTACTTTTGTGTACATCGTATTTTGTCTACAAAAGGCAGAGGTGCTTATTGGTTAAGAGCATGAACTTTGGGGTCAAGGCTAATGGAGTTCAAATCCCAGTTACTCTGGGTCCTTATCCCTGGGTGCATCTCAGATTCCTTACCTATAACACAGAGACAATACAGAGCCTTATTCAAAGTGATGTTATGAGGAATGAACCACTTAAACACATGTAAAGTGATTAAACAGAGCCTGGCCTACAATAAGTAGCATTGTTAACTATTTTTATCACCTTCTTGAGAGGAGCAGCTATATCAAATTCACTTTTATATCTCCAAAAGTATCTACCCAACAGTTAAATGTTGATGACTGTAGAAAGAATAATGATAAACAATTTATAATAGTCACAGTTGAAATAATGTGACAGAAAAACAGGTAGGATTTCACCAATGAGTGAATAAAGACAGCATTGAGGGGCTGGTGTTGTGGCCCGGCGGTGGAGTGCTTGCCTAGCCGTGTAAGGCCCTGGGTTTGAAGAACCTCAGCATCACATAAAAATAAATTAAAAAATAAAGGTACAATACCTTGGTGTCCAATTAGAACTAAAAAATAAATATTAAAAAAAAGACAGCATTGAGAAGGAAGATGCAGACACCTCAGAAACATCACACCTGTATGATTAGGAGAATAACATCAGGATTATGGGAAGTCAGGAAGGGAAGACATTTCTGAATGAAATAGTATGGAGTGTTTCGGTTTCAGATATCTTGAAGACCAAATGACAGTGAGTCACAGCAACTTGGGCAGCACAGGAATTCTGGAGGGGAGGAAGGGTATCGCCATAATTTTAGAAGTCTCCTTCATAAAGATTTAAGGATATTGGTTTGTAATTTAAATTTTTTCATTAATTAAGACTACTTTCTCTCCACTGAATTCAAATTAGTTACATGATGTTATGTTCATATTAATCATCTTATATAAATCAGGTTAATTAATATACATTACAGGTGAATACTACCACATTACATGCAGTAAAAATAATCCATTTTTATAGATTATCAAAGAAATTTAACCACTTTTTTGGACTACCTCTATAACTAAATGGTAAAATATTTAAAAATTACACAATAAGAGATGACTTACAACTTACCCTGAATCACAGAAACAATTCCAGAGTCCTTGGCCATGACTCCAGAGTAAGCGATTAAAAACCCGGTTGAAAATCCGATATAAATTTACTTCCTCAACATCAGCTACCTTCCAGATGCGTGGAAGAACTGTACGAATGCTTGTTTTTACTATGTCCAACACCTAATGGAAAAACCAAAGCACTTAAAAATCTAGGTATGTTCAAAGATGGGCACACACACAAAAACTGAACAACAGCACAGAATTAAAAAGTCCAAAGTAGATCCATACACTTATGAAACTTTGGTATGTAACAGAGACAACAAGTGATACCACTGGAGTAAGAAGTGAGTGTTCAATAAATGGAGATTTTAAAGTAATAATCTTTATGAAAAAGAATAGATGAGGTTGATCCTTACTTCTCTCAGCTAACAAAAATCAATTCTAGTAAACCATCAAATATCTTAGTGGAAATTAGGGGTAAATATTTTTCAAATCCTTTTAGAAAGAGGCTTTTCTAAAGTCACAAAAAGGAATAAGACCACAAAAGATTAACAGATTTTGATCATATTAAAATGAAGAACTACTGGTCACTAAAGAAAATAAAAGACCAAATTACAAATTTGGAAAACATATTCAAAAACACATACTTCCTTCCAACAAAAGACTAGTATCAGGAATATACAAAGATTTCTAACAACTTATAAATATCTTAGACAAAAATTTATGAACAGGCATCTTACAAAAGAAGAAATAAATATGAAGAATAAAAATTAAGTCTATGTAGTAAGATATCATTTCATACCCATTTAAATGAAAAAAAAAAAAAGTCTAATGAGACCAAGTGGATGGCAATCTACCATGTCTCTCAGACCTATTGGTATGAGTACACACTAGTGCAATCACTCTGGAAAACAGCTTGAAAATTCATGCACTGTTTGTCTCAGCAATTTTATTCCTAAGAGAATCTATCAGAGGTAAAAATAGGAGGCATGCATAAGATTGTTCAAACAGCCACACAGTTATAAACACCTGGAAACGACCTAACTCTCCAACAGTGGGAGAATGGATAAACGAATAGTGATAGTGGAGAAATGGGTTCATCCCCCCAGATTATTATACAGTAGTTCAAAAATGAATAAAATATGACACATAACACAGAATAATGTGGTAGTATAATGAGTGATGGGTTTAAAACTACATGTCAGTTTATTGCAGCTCAAGTTACAATAGTTAAACTATGCAACCAACCTAGGTGTACTTCAACAGATGAATGCATAAAGAGAAATGTGGTATATACACACAGTGGAATGTTACTCAGCCTTAAAGAAGGAAGAAGTTATGGCATTTGCCAATAAATGGATGGAGCTGGAGAATATCATGCTAAGCAAAATGAGCTAATTCCAAAAAAATTCAGGTCGAATGTTTTCTCTGAGAAGTGGATGCTAATTCACAATAAGGTAACAGGATGGAGGGGACGACAGAGTTACTTTGGATTAGAGGAGAGTAGGGAGGGGAGGGATCTGGGGCTAGGAAGGATAGTAGAGTGAATCTGACATTATTACCCTATGTACATATATGACTACATAACTGATGTGATCCTACATCATGTACCATCAGAAGAATGAGAAATTATACTCCATATATGTAAGATGTCAAAGTACATTCTACTGTCATGTACAAAAATATATGTCAGAAATTATATATAGTATGACGGTCTTAAGAGAATTAAAAACAAGAAATTTTTAAAATATTTTTTGGAAAAATACATTATTATGATATTAAAATATAAAGAAAGAAAGTGAGGAACTGGTGAATGCTGAATTCAAGAAAACAGTTCCCTGAGACAAGGGACACAGAGGGATAAAAGAGATCCATTTGATTATTATCAACAGATTAGCCATTGTTTAGGTGTTGGTTTCACAGGTGGTATAATATTAAAAACAATAAATAAAAGTAGGCCATATCCAGAATAATGAGGAGACATGATCAGGGAACAAGGACTACGGTTAATCTGGATATCTGAAATCCAAGTGGTCCTAGAAAACATTCTGGGGAAAGCTGCTTTGCCTAATGCATGAGTATTTGATTTTTACGCAATGCAGGGATTTCCAATAAAACTCTTTCATAAAAAAGTTAATGCCAATACATACAGCCACTTTAATTTCAGCTCACCAAAGTAGATTTTTCACTTTTTGTTTTATCTAATTATGGCAAATGCTATAAAAATGAGAGTGAAAGATGAAAACAGAAAAAAAAATGACTGTCAAATATAAAGGCTGAGCAGAGACATAATTTCAACAAGAACAAACATTTGAAAAACTGGAAACATATAAAAGAAAGTTTCCTTCTTTTTAAGACAGGAACATTAAGGAAGTGATGTTATTTCTCCCTGATAATGGTAAGTTTGGAATACCAGCTACAGTTTCTCTGAGCAGCATCACTGCTTCCCTGCCTGTGCCAGCTGCCCTCACTGTGAAGTGGAGGCAGAAATGCAAACCCTAGACTGGACCAGGGTCTGTCAGCAAGGGGAGGGGAAGGACAGATAATGCAATCTACAATAAAGAAGCTCGTGAAAAACACTGTCTTGGAAAAGCTCCTTAACACAAATAGTGAATGCTTAATTAAAAAGAAGAAATTTTTAAAGTTTAATATGAATTATTCACAATAATGCTGATATCATATGCATATTAGGCATTAATTTATGCCTTTTGTTTTTTACAACTTTCATTGACACTATTAGTTTTAACTCTTTTTCAATGTAGACAACAGTACTTACAACTAATGTGATAGAAGAATCAACACGAATTATAAAAAGATAAATTTAAATAATTTCTCAATTTTCTACTTTCTGTCAATGTATCAGTGAGGAATAACAGGCTGAAAGTCAACTCAGAAAGGAGACAATGGAAAACTAGCAAGTTACAGGTTAACATAAATTAATGTAAAAAAATTATGAGTTATATAAAATAATTGAAATTGAAAATGTTATCAACACTGGGAATTGTAAGATTGCCCTGAATCAATGTTTTCGCCTTATGTTATAAAAGAGATTGTTCATCTTTTAATTGATAAAGCAGTTGAAATTATGGAATATTCATCCTCTTTAAATAATCTTATGGTAAAATGAATATATGCTACACAAGAACCAAACACAAGGGCAACTCACAGAGCTTCCTACTCTATGCCACGTATTGTGCAAGGTACACTGCCTTCAAGTAGTCTTTCTTGGTCACCATTCTACACTACTCTTCATTCTAAGGAATTTGAAAAGCCTGATGGTCCAATATCCTAGGCCACACATGCCCAAAGCAGCAGCTTCAGAATGGATGGGGGATGCTTCTGCTCCACTCTGAATGGGTCCTGCAACACGGATACGGAACAATCTCCAGGCATGTTACACCTGCTTAGGAACAATTTCCCAGATTGGTGATATTGGCATGGTCTGAGCGACCCAAGCACTTCCTCCTTCCTTTCCAGGGTAACACATTGAGAATGTACATCCCCCCTTGCTCCTTTTGCCTTCAGTTTCCAAACACCCTCCCCAAGAAGGCAAGCTTGGGTCCTAGGAAGAGGGGTAGTTAGAAATACCCGCTCCCATGACTTGGAGAAGAGGAGGAGACACAAACAAAGGGAACAAGAATCCAAGTGCTTCATATCTCTTTCATATAGCTCTTTTTGGACTATAACGGTCTTCTATCTGTTCACCTGGTACACTCTGTCTTAAACATCATTTCTTAAGGAGACCTTACCTACCAAACTTATATTATTTTTCAGTGCCTGGTTCCTCTTCCATTATTAATCATCTCACTTTAATTTCCCATTTAATAAAGACTACTATTTATGTAAAGGGAGGAATTGTGGCCATGTTGGTAATATAGTTACCTGTCTCCAAGGCTTAAGATAAAGGCTACCACTTAGTCGTTGCTTACCTTAGTGAATTATTCCTTGCAAGAAAGTGAAACCTTTGCAGACAAGGTAAAAATCAGAGCCAACATTTATCAAGGACTTACAATATGTTAATTACTATTCCAGGCAATTTTATACATATTAACTCATTTAATCTCAAAACAAAAACATGAGACAGATATTATTGGTCCACAGGGCCATTCTGAAAATCTTGAGGATAAATTCCACAATTATATACATTAATATTTCTGCAGAAAAAAGATGTGAATATTCAATCTCAGGAACAGACAAAAACAACACATTACTTCCTGTCTGAGGATCATGAGCAAATGAGTTAAGGGGGGGTGAGTTGTTGCTGCCTTAAGGGTTATGAAAAGTTTTTGGTTGTGAAAATATTTTGGATCTCATATTATGGATGAGAAATCTCAGGCACAGAACAGATAAGTAACATGAAAAGTACACAGTTGCTAAGTGGACCAGTGTGTATCCAGACCTGTGCTCTTAGCTATCTCCCAACACTGCCTCACCACGCGGTCTTCCCAGATGCCAATAGCAAAAGCTGAGTGGAGAAACCAACTGTCTCTTCTTAGACTCACTTGTACCTCTAGGCAAGTGTATTTGGGAAAGGGAGAGGGCCACTGGGTACTAATAGAACAGGGGAGGTGCATAAGCACCCCTCTCCTTCATAACAATGGAGTATGATGAGCTTGCAAAAGGTTATATACATATACATGGGAAACAATGACTGTACCTTAGCAAAACAATCATTGAATAATTTCAAGAATGCAGAGATCAGGCAGGCCAGAAATCAGACTGACATAATGTAAATTAGTGCCAGTTTTAGTTGTGATTTTTTTTATTCCTGGTATTTTAAGGTTAGATGCAATTGGATGAAGATAAATAATCCGTGAAACACAAAAATGGTCAGCAAGGTGCCCTTGTTTTTATCTATGGGTTCAAGTGAGGCTAACTTGTAGAATGTGGGTATCCATTTCCTTAAATTATGACATTTAAAAGCATCCCAGTCCAACATTAAGTTCTCCATGGGAAAAATAAATGGGAGAGTTAGTCAATGACAACATTAATAAAGTAAAAAGATTTGTCTTTTCCATATGAGATATAGCACATTTGAAAGCATAAAGCACACTGACAAATTCATATTTTGTAAGAACATTCAGATGTTGAATGACAAACCGCTCCATATGGCTGAACAGTTGGTCCTAAATTAAAATAATGGCACAAGGTGAAGGCAGTTTAGAAATAACATTAAAATC